AGGCCCCCGTCAAGGAGAAGGCCAAGGAAAGGCGTCTCCCCGTCAAGGAGAAGGGTCAAGAGAAGGCCCCCGTCAAGGAGAAGGCCCCCGTCAAGGAGAAGGCCCCCGTCAAGGAGAAGGCGTAAGGCCCCCGTCAAGGAGAAGGCCAACGCCTGGGATAAGGCCCCCGTCTTGGAGACGGGCCACGTCAAGCAGAAGGGCGTCAAGCAGGAGGTCCCTGACTCTCCATACGAGGAAGAGGTCCCCGACGACCCCCTTGACTTGCTGTGCGAGGAGTGTCCCGCGAAAACGAGGGAACAGGAGCCCATTGTGGACAAAGTGGACATGAGTCGCGTCCCCGTGATCCCCCAGGGGTACTTTACGTACCACGAAATCGGGGGCTTGGCGCGGAAGGCCTGGGTGGCCGAGAAGCGCCGGGCGGCAAGCCAGCGGGCACGCCGTCCCAAGAAGACCCGCCCGGCGGAATCCGAATTTTGGCGGGAGATCAATTTTAAACAGCTCCTGAGGGTGAAGCCGATCTCGAAGGCTTGCCGGATTCGCTGATCGTTCTGCAGGAATGATCAGCGGGACCTTCTGGGCCAGCAGGTCCAGCAGGTCCTCCGGGGGCAGGCGGGCCTCTGACGACCGCCGCGCCTCGACCTTCACCCGCAGGGAATAAAAAAAGAAAAGAAAAGAAAGAAAATGAGAAAAAAAGGGAAAAAAAAAGAAAATACGATATATATATATATATATATATATATATATATATATATATATATAAAGAGAATTTTAAAATTAATATGATAACAATAACAATAATAATATTCATAAAGATAGTGGGAATCATAACAATAATGATACTAACCATATGTATGACGAGGACTTTGAATGGCTGACGGCCTTCATCCATTCATTATTCATCGGGAGGCAACATGGAAATGAAGACAAATCACGTGTCAAATTCACATGACTGATCAATATTCGAACATTTCTATTTCGCACTTATTGTAAACGGACTTTTTTCTGCTTTAATGTTTGTTTGTCTTTGCTTTTTTGTTATTGTTGTTTGCGTTTTTTTAATGCGCTTATGGGACGTAAACGCTTCTATTGTTATGAAGATTTAATTATGTTGATAAAAAATTTTCTTTGAGGCAGATGAACCGTTCGCATTTCGGTTTTTCAATAGACTACATGAACTCACTCGTACTATTGATTTTAAAGCAGACAGCGGAGAAGGGGAACGGATAAGAAGAAGGAGAGGAGGAAGAAGAGGAAACGGATA